GGCTGGGAGACATGGGGACACTGTGAGACATGGAGACACTGTGTCCCTAGTGTCTCAGTGTCCAAAAGTGTCTCCCAATGTCCCTGTGTCTCACATTGTCCCCATGTGTCTCAGCGTCCCCATGTCTCACAGTGTCCCCTAGTGTCCCAGTGTTCCCAGGTCTCCCAGTGTTCCCTAGTGCCTCAGTGTCCCCTAGTGTCTCAGTGTCCCCTAATGTCTCAGTGTCCCCATGTCTCCCTGCTGCCTTTCCCCTCATCCCTCACTTCCCTGAGCTGAAGTCTGTCACTGCAGGCGGGGAGCTGCTGTCTGAACTCTCTGTGCTGTGTAGCTCCTCCCCCATGGATCAGTGAATAGAGAGAGGGATATGCTGTAACTTCCTATCCCTGCCTCTCTCCACACACAGTGACCCCTACTGGCTGGTGCTAATATTACAGAGTAATCTCCGTTTATACTGAGAAAAATATCTGCATTTGTATTGCCGGTATTACTACAATACCAGCACGGCTATGCAGCCTCAAATACTGGCTGTGCTGGTAAAATACCAGACAAGTGGCAAACCTAGGATTTTTTTTTTTTTAAATGGGCCTATTCCATGGGCTTGGGCCTGGAGCTGCAGCTCAATCAGCCCCTATGTTAATCCAGCCCTGCTTGCAGGCACTGCTTGCTAGCTCTCCCTTTCCCCCTCCCCCCCTGGACTCCTACCCCCCACCCTCCCTCTCACTCTGTGCAGTATTGGGTTTTGTTTTAGAAAAAAAATGCTCTATTTTATTTTGGTTTGGTTTGGCTACTTTGGTCTAACATCTGAAATGTACTTTATATCCACTTGAATCCCTGATAATTCATACATGATTCCCATAGTGGAATTGTATATTGACATAGCTTCACATCTGACATACACTGTCCTCAGAAGTCCCCAATCCACTAGCCAAACACCACTAAAATTAAATTAATCTACCTACCCCAACACCGTGATAATAGGGGGGAGAGGGAGTAAAACTAATTCCTGAAGAATAAAAATTAGACTTACCCATCAAAAGTCTTTTTCTTCTAACTTGGATTTTGCTACTCAGTTTTAAACTTTTCTTCTGCACCAAAAAGGCCAAATCCATAAAATCCATAATAAATTAATGAAAAAAAATAACCAGTTTTACAAAAGAAAAAGACAAAAAAAAAATACAGCAATGCAATAAAATGAATCTTTAGTCACCTCACGAGGGCTCACCACAGACTAAGCTCTCATAGCAGTGAAAGCCTTTGTAGAGACTTTCCCACGCTATGTCAGCTATTTCATCATGCAGGAAAATTTCCCTCGCTATGTAATAACTGTAAGAGTGCTCTGATTGGTCGGCTCGTTGGCACTCTGACAGGAAAGTTTGGAGAGGCTGTACGTTTTAACAATGTAGCCATCAGTCAATACAGTTTCCATCTCTTTCGCCCAATCTGGGTGGTTAATAACAATCAACAAGAAAATAATGAAAAAATAATCTAGCTAATGATCCATTCCTCTATGTATCAGTGTCTAATATACCCAGCTGGATTTGCATTGTAAACCCCATGTGTGTTCATAGCGTAGTACAGAGCTTTAGTAAGTGATATGTATTAAGATGGCAAGAGAGGAAACTCTGCTTTGTACAAAATATTGTTTTTGCAGTGCCCTCGACCGTAGCATCCAGAAATATGGAAGTAAGTTCAGTCTGAACGTTTCACAGCATTATAAGCACAAACTATAATATTTGTGTGCTGCGTCAAGGGTGCATTTTTGATATGCGAGATTTCATTATTTGTTCCAGTTTCTCACACGATTAACCCCTGCGAACCAGGGATGAGCAATTCCATTGTGATTTTGACAGCTCTAACATGTCATCAGTCCTGAAGAGGTTGAGTTAAAATTGTAATTTTTGTAAAGAATATAAGTGAAACAGCATTTATCCCAAGCTCAAACCTGTTCAAAAAGCATGAAATATGAAATCTTGTTTGTGACACAGGTCAGATCTTATAGAAAATAGAAAACTGAGGCAGCTATAAAATGACATGTATCATTGTATTATATGTGCACACAGTGTAGGAAGCAATGTAATCTATCTGGGGCTGCCTTGTTGCAATGAATCATGTATGCAGGCAACCCTCAGCACATAAGATGATGTGTATGTCATCTCCCATAATGCTGTTATAGCCATAATGCTGGCAAAGCGGCAGTGGAGATGTAGACCATAACATGTGGAGTGCCCAAGGTTGCCTATCCTTGGTCTAGGATGTCATGCTAGAGGGAGGAGAACTGAATTGGGTCCTCTCCATGATGGCTAGGAGGGGGGTTGACGGGAATCGCTGTGCATGTAGTGATGCTGTGATGACAGTGACCCCTTCACACAGAGTGAAACCCAGAGGAAGACGTTTACCGGACCTTAGAGTGGCCGGACTTGCGTCTGAGAGTAGTCAAAGGAATAGCCAGAGGTCAAGGGAGTACAGAAGACGGGCACACGATAATCCAAGCCAAAATAATGGGAAACCAGAGAACAGAATAGTCAGAAGGGAAGCCAAGAGTCAGATACCAAAAAGTCAATCAGAATATAAAGAGCGCTAGAGGACTCAAACAAGAACCACACTAGGGAGCCTTACAAATGTCATGGTTGCCTTTATATAGTGTGGGATCTTTTGCTTTAAAACCACGCCCCCAAAAGGTCTGGGATTGTGGCCACGTTTGAATTTTGGCGGCACTATTTTGCTGACGTCGGCGTGTTGCAAGTGGCCGGCGTCAGAAAGACTGAGCCACCTCCCAGAAGTGCTGGAAGAAGACACCGCGCTGCGCGGGTCTGGCAGGGAAAGGTAAGTTATCATTACATACAGTCCCCAGCATCCCTGCATTTAGCCCTGTGGGCCAAGCAACTATAGAACATAGCTCATCACTGCCAAGCTGCCTCCCTAACCATGTAAGTCTGGTCAGCGTAAGTATCATGTGCTAACTCTGTTCAGCACAGGGAAAGTGTATGCACCCCACTCAAGAGGCTTCCTAGGGTGGCCACCTGATCCATGTGCTGGCCTTGACTACTGGTTGATTTTCCCATCATTTTTGTGTTACATTTACTGTATGTCTACTATGTGTCCTGCTTATTTCATCCTAACTGTTAGTATATGAGATTTTCTGTTTTCCCTTCCGGTACTACATACGGAGTGTATGTTATTTCCTTATTGTCTTATATAGCTCTCAGTTATATCAAACAAGGGGCTTTCCTGCTAGTGCGATTGTAAAGTAAGTGATCGCTATAGCAAACCTTTCTAGGCAGCATTAATTGGATTTATTTAGAGAACAGATAGCACTGGATATGACATGGCATTAGTAAAAGAGTTACATTTAAAGTGTACAAATTCCAAATTCAATCTTTCTCACTTGTGTTCCCCTCAATGTTTTAAACTAGATTTTCCAGGCAACATGTTATAGATAATTAGCTTTACAATAAATGCCATTAAAGACAAGGGGAGCTCAGCCCCTCTCTCGTCACCTGTAATAATGTTTTTATTTTTTTATTGTTAATTTTTTTTCTCTTTATTGGGCAAATATGTCTAATTACAATAATATTGTTCATTAAAGAGTTGCTTTTTTATTTATATTTTTCAAGGTGTCGAGAATAGAAGTCTGTAAATAGAGTAATTCAGATATGTTTTCTTGTTAGGGGCAAGCATTTGTTCAGGGAGCCCGTGGGCCACAGAGCACCTGGCTCTTTCCAGTGTACTCTAATTATTTAAATGTAAACACTTTTTGAACAATATGTTCTCATTCTTTGGGTTAGTATTGGCATTCAGCACCATAATGTGCTGCTCTGGAATAAACAAAGAAATGGCATCCAGTCCACAATTTAATAAGACATTTATGTTCAGTAGAAATAGAATGTATGAAATGCCAATGTTTAGTGGGTAAAGGGGGATATCTATTTTATTAAAAAGGCGAAATTATTCTTGCTAGGGATTAACCCTTGCTAATCAAAATGATCCTGTAAAGGGTCCAGGAGTTGCCCAGTTTTCCTGGGACCAAACAATGACAAGTCATCCAGTTGGCTTTTAAAACCCTAGACACCCCCAAGGTATGTACCTATCAGTATTAACTAATACCCAACACGCAGAACTTAAGTTAACTAAATAAATAATAAAAAGAAATCCTAAAACGTATTACTGGACCCTAGAATGGGCGGGTTTAACTTTAAAGAATAGAACAGAGCAAGCCCATGTCAGGGAAACATAGTGTACATAAATGGTAAGACAAGCCAAAGAGCAAGGAATACAGAAGGTAGAATAGTCAAAGAACCAGCCAAGGTCAATATACAATAGAATCAATACAAATAATGTGATAACCGAGAAGGAAACCATGACAGGACACTGAAAAAAATAGCAAATTTGAGTTAAAATATCCTAAAAAGGGCTGATGGGCCCATAGTGGTCACGAGACTTTGGAATGTGCATGTGCAACATCGGTGAGATGATGAATGCACATTTGCGACAGGAAATAGGGATGAAGAAGATGGAGTCATAAAAGGCTTCAATGTGCAGTGGATGTCTTTGATCAGGCTGCAGGAGGTGGATGCCACACAGTTAAGCATTAGTAGCACTGGCAGCATGCCCACACACCACGTGGGAACACGCCACATCGGAGACGAAAGGAGTGTGCCGTGACATTACTTACCTAACCGTCTCACACTAATAATAGTGAGGGAGGGCAACAAATTTAGAACAAAAAATAAAGTCTTAAAAAAATCTAGTACTTAACATTTTAATTCTTCATTGAAGGTCTTCTTTCTTCTCCTCAAAACAGGCCAAATATATCTTCATATCTCAACAGAAGTATTTAAAATAATTTTAAAAAAAACAAAACCCATCTGTAAATAATTGGCTGTTTTGTGGCAGGAGTAAAGTTTTAAAGCACAAGGTAATGGTCAGCAGAGCCGCCATGTCCATCAAAGAGATTTACTATTCCCATAAATAAAACGAATATAAATTTATCGGCATTTCAGGATATTGCGAAGATTTTCCCTAAAACACCCCTTATGTCTGAGACTGAATGGAGGAATCTGGGATGCCAGCAGAGTCAGGACAGGGTGCACTACATGATCCAGGAGCCTGAACCCCAACATCATACTGTTTCGAAGGACTTTGCCAAAGAAGATCTAAGATCCTATATCATGGCTATTCTTGTTGGCTACATACGAGCACCTCAGATTTTATGCAAGTTTTCCTCAGATTTTATTGGACGTTGCCGCATAACATTCTTCATTTCTCGACAAAATGATTTTCATCAAGATCCACGCTGAAGGAAAAATGGCCGGAAAAGATACTTAATATTTATATTATCTGAATTCTGCAGCCGTTGCTTATGGCAGTGACTGTGTTTTGCTGTGACTTACACTGGCCTGTGTGTTTATTATTCTGACGCTGCAATGAATTTTCCTTTTTCTTAAAACTCACTTTAATAAAGTGACTTTGTTTTATATACATTTTATATTAAAATGGCAAATAAAACATCCCCATATCTCAACAAAACAATTTAAAATGTAAAAAAAAAAAAAGTGCATTTGCAAATCAAAAACCTGATGCATAGAAAGAAATATTGATGTGAGTCAAAGAAGTCTCCTTGCAGACTGAGGATTTAAGTAGGAAAAGCCTTTATACAGGGAGTGCAGAATTATTAGGCAAATGAGTATTTTGACCACATCATCCTCTTTATGCATGTTGTCTTACTCCAAGCTGTATAGGCTCGAAAGCCTACTACCAATTAAGCATATTAGGTGATGTGCATCTCTGTAATGAGAAGGGGTGTGGTCTAATGACATCAACACCCTATATCAGGTGTGCATAATTATTAGGCAACTTCCTTTCCTTTGGCAAAATGGGTCAAAAGAAGGACTTGACAGGCTCAGAAAAGTCAAAAATAGTGAGATATCTTGCAGAGGGATGCAGCACTCTTAAAATTGCAAAGCTTCTGAAGCGTGATCATCGAACAATCAAGCGTTTCATTCAAAATAGTCAACAGGGTCGCAAGAAGCGTGTGGAGAAACCAAGGCGCAAAATAACTGCCCATGAACTGAGAAAAGTCAAGCGTGCAGCTGCCACGATGCCACTTGCCACCAGTTTGGCCATATTTCAGAGCTGCAACATCACTGGAGTGCCCAAAAGCACAAGGTGTGCAATACTCAGAGACATGGCCAAGGTAAGAAAGGCTGAAAGATGACTACCACTGAACAAGACACACAAGCTGAAACGTCAAGACTGGGCCAAGAAATATCTCAAGACTGATTTTATTAAGGTTTTATGGACCGATGAAATGAGAGTGAGTCGTGATGGGCCAGATGGATGGGCCCGTGGCTGGATTGGTAAAGGGCAGAGAGCTCCAGTCCGACTCAGACGCCAGCAAGGTGGAGGTGGAGTACTGGTTTGGGCTGGTATCATCAAAGATGAGCTTGTGGGGCCTTTTCGGGTTGAGGATGGAGTCAAGCTCAACTCCCAGTCCTACTGCCAGTTCCTGGAAGACACCTTCTTCAAGCAGTGGTACAGGAAGAAGTCTGCATCCTTCAAGAAAAACATGATTTTCATGCAGGACAATGCTCCATCACACGCGTCCAAGTACTCCACAGCGTGGCTGGCAAGAAAGGGTATAAAAGAAGAAAATCTAATGACATGGCCTCCTTGTTCACCTGATCTGAACCCCATTGAGAACCTGTGGTCCATCATCAAATGTGAGATTTACAAGGAGGGAAAACAGTACACCTCTCTGAACAGTGTCTGGGAGGCTGTGGTTGCTGCTGCACGCAATGTTGATGGTGAACAGATCAAAACACTGACAGAATCCATGGATGGCAGGCTTTTGAGTGTCCTTGCAAAGAAAGGTGGCTATATTGGTCACTGATTTGTTTTTGTTTTGTTTTTGAATGTCAGAAATGTATATTTGTGAATGTTGAGATATTATATTGGTTTCACTGGTAATAATAAATAATTGAAATGGGTATATATTTGTTTTTTGTTAAGTTGCCTAATAATTATACACAGTAATAGTCACCTGCACACACAGATATCCCCCTAACATAGCTAAAACTAAAAACAAACTAAAAACTACTTCCAAAAATATTCAGCTTTGATATTGATGAGTTTTTTGGGTTCATTGAGAACATGGTTGTTGTTCAATAATAAAATTAATCCTCAAAAATACAACTTGCCTAATAATTCTGCACTCCCTGTAAAGTCTTCCTCCACTTTGATTACAAGTAAGAGCCATGAAATCTATTGGCTTGGAACCCTGCAAGACTTGCTAGGAAATGTATATAGATAACACTCTGTGCACATATTTAGGCAAGTCTGCTGAGTATTTTAGATTCAAAAAGCTGCTTTTAATAATTAGCAAATGGTGTTACAATTTCTGTAGTTGCCTGTAGATTTCTCTCTCGCTCCGGTCAGAATCGTTACCACACTGATTGGCCCAAAAAACCCTGACAGTCACAAATAAATTGAGCTGTATATTCCTTCCTAATAGTGAAACTCATAAGCTTTGTTGTATGTTCTAATCTTTCATACTTACTGTATGTACTGGGAATCAGTACTTGGACTCCTATTGCGGCCATGTGACCGCTCTGAATGATCACATGGCCCGATGGGGCCTAATTTGCCAAGGAAGAACTGCCTGGGCTGTCAGGCAGTCTCCCCAGAACTGGAACAACACTGATCGCCGGCGATCAGGTAAGTAATTATGACGGTTCAGGATGTTTCTGTTGACAGTCCTGAACTGTCATCAGTGGTTAAGGACCATTTCTATATATATATATATATATATATATATATATATATATATATATATAGTCAGGCCCGGACTGGCCATCAGGCATACCGGGCAAATGCCCGGTGGGCCGCGATGGCCGTGGGGCCGAGGCCGGCAGGGGAGATCACAGGATCTCCCCTGTCAGCCCCTGCAGGGCCAGCGCTACCCTGCTGTGTGCCTCCATGGGCCGGTGGGGAGATCAAAGATCTCCTTCACCGGCCCACATGCAGTTACAGGCGGCCGCCAGCAGGAGAGGGAGGGAGGCAGGAGAACCGGCGGAGATCTAACCAGCAGCTCCGGGTCCTCTTGCGGGATTCTGAGCGTTGCCGCGGTTACCGCGGCAATGCTCAGATCTTTCGCGAGAGTGAACTCTAGCCTGCAGGTTAGAGTTCACTCTCACCACTGGACCACCAGGGAAGGATGGCAGCATGGCTCCCCACCCCCAGGCAGAACGGATCTCCTCCCCCCCCCCCAGGATAAAGGTAAGAAGGGGGGGGATATAATTTGTTTTTATTAATAAAATAAATAATTTTAAATTTAAATATTTAAATAAAAAATACATTCACACTCACACACACAGCACCCCCAGACAGACACACAGCACCCAGACACAGCACTTAGACAGACACAGCACCCAGACAGACACAGCACCCAGACACACACAGCACCCAGACACACACAGCACCCCCAGACAGACACAGCACCCCCAGACAGACACAGCACCCAGACAGACACAGCACCCAGACAGACACACAGCACCCAGACACAGCACCAAGACACACACAACACCCCCAGACAGACACAGCACCCAGACAGACACACAGCACCCAGACACACAGCGCACCCAGACACACAACTAATACCCAACACGCACACTTAAGTTAAAACACACACAATAAAAAGAGAATCCTAAACAGCACCCTGACACCCACAGCACCCAGACAGACACTTTAAAGAATAGAACAGAGCAAGCCCATGTCAGGGAAACATAGTGTACATAAATGGTAAGACAAGCCAAAGAGCAAGGAATACAGAAGGTAGAATAGTCAAAGAACCAGCCAAGGTCAATATACAATAGAATCAATACAAATAATGTGATAACCGAGAAGGAAACCATGACAGGACACTGAAAAAAATAGCAAATTTGAGTTAAAATATCCTAAAAAGGGCTGATGGGCCCATAGTGGTCACGAGACTTTGGAATGTGCATGTGCAACATCGGTGAGATGATGAATGCACATTTGCGACAGGAAATAGGGATGAAGAAGATGGAGTCATAAAAGGCTTCAATGTGCAGTGGATGTCTTTGATCAGGCTGCAGGAGGTGGATGCCACACAGTTAAGCATTAGTAGCACTGGCAGCATGCCCACACACCACGTGGGAACACGCCACATCGGAGACGAAAGGAGTGTGCCGTGACATTACTTACCTAACCGTCTCACACTAATAATAGTGAGGGAGGGCAACAAATTTAGAACAAAAAATAAAGTCTTAAAAAAATCTAGTACTTAACATTTTAATTCTTCATTGAAGGTCTTCTTTCTTCTCCTCAAAACAGGCCAAATATATCTTCATATCTCAACAGAAGTATTTAAAATAATTTTAAAAAAAACAAAACCCATCTGTAAATAATTGGCTGTTTTGTGGCAGGAGTAAAGTTTTAAAGCACAAGGTAATGGTCAGCAGAGCCGCCATGTCCATCAAAGAGATTTACTATTCCCATAAATAAAACGAATATAAATTTATCGGCATTTCAGGATATTGCGAAGATTTTCCCTAAAACACCCCTTATGTCTGAGACTGAATGGAGGAATCTGGGATGCCAGCAGAGTCAGGACAGGGTGCACTACATGATCCAGGAGCCTGAACCCCAACATCATACTGTTTCGAAGGACTTTGCCAAAGAAGATCTAAGATCCTATATCATGGCTATTCTTGTTGGCTACATACGAGCACCTCAGATTTTATGCAAGTTTTCCTCAGATTTTATGCAAGTTTTCCTCAGATTTTATTGGACGTTGCCGCATAACATTCTTCATTTCTCGACAAAATGATTTTCATCAAGATCCACGCTGAAGGAAAAATGGCCGGAAAAGATACTTAATATTTATATTATCTGAATTCTGCAGCCGTTGCTTATGGCAGTGACTGTGTTTTGCTGTGACTTACACTGGCCTGTGTGTTTATTATTCTGACGCTGCAATGAATTTTCCTTTTTCTTAAAACTCACTTTAATAAAGTGACTTTGTTTTATATACATTTTATATTAAAATGGCAAATAAAACATCCCCATATCTCAACAAAACAATTTAAAATGTAAAAAAAAAAAAAGTGCATTTGCAAATCAAAAACCTGATGCATAGAAAGAAATATTGATGTGAGTCAAAGAAGTCTCCTTGCAGACTGAGGATTTAAGTAGGAAAAGCCTTTATACAGGGAGTGCAGAATTATTAGGCAAATGAGTATTTTGACCACATCATCCTCTTTATGCATGTTGTCTTACT